TTCTTGATTATTTGATTGTGCCATAAATTGTTAAATATAAAACGCGATTAAAATAAAAACTACTCTGAATAAAAGAAACTACGATAAATTGTTTTATAATCATAGTAATATATTGTAATATGTAAGGAAATAAGATATACCACTGACTAATAATTTAACCGTTAAACACTTAGGTATCTTTAGGATTCTGTATCACACACTCATATTTATAAATATTTGTCATCACTGTTATTACTTTTATTGTTTGGATGGATCAAACTATTATTTAAGTTATTTTTAATGTAAATATAATCGTCGTTGTACATCTGTCATCAATATTGGATTAAGATACTGCGTAATGAAATTAAGTGAAAAGTTTAGATAATTTGTTTGTTGGGTATACGTTTTCTTCTTAGTTAAATTAATTGTTTTTGTATGAATTTCAAGTTACATTAGATTGTGAAATTGTTTGCGGCTTATGAATTGTAAAAAGTTAAAAATAATTGTAATTGACGTCTTCTCTGAGAGTAATCAGAATCATGTATTTTTTTAATGCCAAAATGTCATTTTTAGTAATACACTTTCCTGACCAAGTAAAAAATTCTTATTACGGCCCTGATCAGAGCTTCTCCATCCAAGGACACCAAAAACGGCTGTTCGTTCTATCGTCTTAGTCAATTGATTGAAGACGAGAAATTTACCACAATATTTGTATATGTTTGTAGAAGGTAGTTTATGTATTGCATTTATTGCATTTTTGAAATACAAATATTTAGAAAACTGCTGGATTTTTCAGTAAAGAAATTTACATTATCAATCTACATAATGTTTGCCCTAGTTAGGTAACAATTATAGCAATTTTTTACATCAAAAATAATGTATAGGTACCTATTAGAAATTTTCCTAAAAAAATTTTCATTTTAACATCCCATATCCCATATCTTTTTTAATATCCACTTGTAACCTAAAGTAAGTTTGGCTAAATAATATTTTAATGTTTATAATTTATTTATATTGTGATCCTTTACTTATCAAATGCCCTGGATATAAGACCCTCGCAAATGGAGTAATGGTAATGGTGTGGTAATGTCTCAAATACTGAGTGAATTACGTCCGTAATTTCCGTAAACAAAAACTGGAGAATAATAGTTAATGATGTTTCATCTAATAGAGAGTTGTTGCTTCAACAACACCTCATATACTTTATTAGATGAAGTAAAAGTATTAATTTTTTTCTTCTCTAATTGCAGCACCAGTTTGATTTGCATTCATTTATATATACAGGGTGTCCCGTAATTCCACGTAAATATTGAAAGGGGGTATTCTATTCAGTTTGAAAGGGTGGTAATTGATAAAACATATTTTTTTTACTCGGAAAGTATTAATTTTTTGGAAAAATTGAAAGAGCAAGAAAAGTTTCTAAATTCATAGGGCCACAAAACCGTAACTTAAATTTTGATCCATAGCCATCTATAAAAAGTTCTGACCAAATCAGGAAGGGTTGTTTGTTTCAACCACTTCGAAGTGAAGGGTGCAAATAAAAATTTATTGCTAAAACGTAGTTCTACATTAGTGTCTTTTATCAGTGTCTGAGTGCTGGGCTAGGGCACTAAATTTTATAAATAGATGGCCTTGAATGTATGAGGGCTTGTGTATAGTAACTTTAGGAGCTGTGTATGGCAGCTTTAGATGTCAAGATTTACATCGCAGGATTGACAACGCCTGGGTGTTTGCTATAAAGTTATGGGTGCTTTGAGCTCGTGTTAATTTTTTAAGAGAAATTTTGACTCAAATTTTTCTTTTTTATAAAATTGTTATTTATTGAAATTTTTATATTTAATTAACAATAAGAATGAGCATATTATACCTGCAACAAAACAAAGTAAAAAATTTCGATCGTACAACTGGCCAAGATCCGTATCTGGTTATTGAAATGGAAAACATCAGAGTTGACGTTCAATCACGGCGCTTGATGGATCCGCAGATGTTCCGGTAGCGAAGTCCGCCAGTTACCCACCTTTGGATTATCGCCAAATAAAAGTGATGATACATTTTTATAATTCCCAGTTCAAATTCCGTAATATTCGGAAAACTTTTCAGTTTCCACGATTAGAAACTGGGAAGAATTTATTCAGCGAAAATTTTGGAAAGTTTAGTGAAAGCTTTAATTTCCGTGCCGCGCTTATTGCTTCTCGTGGAAGGCAGTTTGGACAAACAATAAATTATTAAAAAAAAATGGTCAACTACAGAAAAAAATGTACAATAGTAAGTCTTATAACTAGTATTATAGTAAGATGATAAAATAGTAATTATAGGAAAACTAATATCTGTCATCTGTCATATATGTTTTATTTTAAACAAATGACATGAGCCACCTTTGACTGAATTTTTTATAATATTGGATAAAATATGGTTCGTCTCTGCCCCTTATAAGATTTACCATTGTACAATTTTTTTTCTGTAGTTGATCATTGTTTTTTTATAATTTATTGTTTGTTAGTTAGTATGTGGTGCGAATAAAGCCATTATAACCATATTTTAAAAGAATATTTTGTCTCAGTGTGATTTAAATAAAACAATAGATTTTCCTGTTACATCATACATTACATATAGAAGTCGACATGCCTCGAAAACAAGTAAATATTGGGAAAAACTTTATATTACAAAAATTATTCAAAATTTAACGATCTTTCAGATGGATCACATTTCCACATTCCAGGAATCAAAAAATCTTTGGTATCGCCACGCCATCTATACAGAAAGATTTGAATTAACAATTCTAACTGCAATTTGAAGTTATTCGAGGGACCTAACAACCCCAGTTTCCGGAACTAAAATAAATTTCTTCATTTCGCAGATATTGGCACACCCTATATAGTAGAGTTTGGTTATTACGACTCCACTTGTAATGACCGATCACACAATGCGACGTACTTCAAGTTTAGTACTACATAGATTATTTTTCAGTTTGCTTATTACGTTGTCTATTTAGTATGATGAGATTCCACGATCCCTTGAGATATTGTTGCAATCGAACACCACAGTGTTGAACAATATTTTCAAATTGGTGTTAGATTCTATTTTTGAATATGCGTAACTTTATGAATTTAACTTTGGAATTCTTATAGTACCTACTAGAATAATATAAGACTATATCAGAAAGAAAAAATTATATGAAAAGTTCGTTATGATTTCAAGGTACTAGCCTCGGTACTAACTGATGATCCATTAATTATAAAATACAATTTTGAAATGTAAACTACGTATCGATAAGACCCAGACTATCATTTAAAACCTTGTAATCTATGTGCCTGCTACAAAAGTCTGCAATTAGTTTATAATCAATAAATCAATACGAAAATTTGTAACTAGTTTTATCAAGCTTTATAACTTTCATACAAATATGTATAATGTACTATATTAAAATTTTACTTAGCACAAAAAAATATTACATTTGTCTCGGTCTTACTCGTATCAGATATTTTCTAATACTGAAATGTTCATGAATTAATTATAACAATAGCAATAGATTTTTTACCTAACATAATTAATTTATATTTTCCTTAAATACGTGAAATGCAACTTAGGGAAAAAGAATTCTTCAATATTATTTTATAATGGTAGAATAGAATATATCGGCATCTCTTAACGAGTCTCTTAATTTAATTCAAAGGCTTCATGTTTGCAATTGTATTACACTTGTACAAGCAATTAGGCGAGCAGCAAATTGTGTTAATATTTTTTAATTGTTTAATGTGAGATGCCGGAAGCAGGCAATTTAGGATGCAAGTAGGTAGTTGACACGAAAAAATATTTTAATATTTGAAAATTAAAATTATTGAAAGTAAAAAAATTTGTTTTAGTAGTTGATGTCACAATTTTTAGTCATAAACTGTTTATATACTCTGTTTTTCACAAAATTAAAGGCAACATTTAAAAATGTCATTACATACAAGTAAAAGTAGAGTAAAATTTTAGTGTCACTGAATCTGAACTTCTTACTGTCGCCGAAGGATAAGTAAGTTAAACTAAAGTTTAGGAATCATTATCATGTGATGAGATGACGTGTTAATACATGTTGCAGAAATTTCTATTAAGTACATTATTTTAAACAGTGGATTTCCCAAATATTAACTTTTAGTGATTTAAATGTATCATTCTCTTCGTCTGAAACCATAAAAATAATGTCAGACTTAGTAACCTGAACACCCGGACTAAATTTCATAAACCTATTATTCTGATGTGCCACCGAAAACCGAAACATGATTAAATAATAACGACAAAACACATGTTTGTAATATCGGGCAGATTCAGATAACTGTCAAATATTCTAAAGCATCAATTAGTGATTTTATTTATTATTTATAATATCTACTCAAAGAACGAAAACTCCGGTAACAGCAAGTTTCTATAATATATATTATAAATGCCACACAATGTATATATGTCGTGCTATGGCAAAATGGCTAAAAATGTCACAAAATCAGTAACGAATTATAAATGAAATGGTTAGAATTATTGAAATACATTTCAGACATTATAACTTTTAATAAAGTTATTCATCATTAGGTTATTAATTAACAATATTTTGAACAATACGATTTAATAATAAAAAACCCTCTGTCTCAATTATAACCGTTTTTTAAAAATATATATAAGTAGTCTCTTAAAATTTTCACATGTACTATTAAAATTTCTCGCTTCATTTTGTTGATGTCTAAATAAATGTTAATTGAAAGAAATTGCCACTATAATTTCAGAGACAATTCCCCACAGATGAAATCATCACCACTATAGTCCTCAAAATAATTCTTCGCTACGTCTAAGCTCTAATTTGTTTTTTAAGAAAAACATAAACAATTGCAGTTAAATTTTGGTACTTTCTGTAGAAAGCAACGCTGGTAGAAAATAAATCATATAAAATAATATACGTATATTACATTCAAATATACTCATTCTGTTCTTCGCTACGAAGACAACGTTAAGAAGAAATAGTTAAGTCTAGATGAGTAGCAACTTACCATTCAGAGACCATATATGAGAAGGTAACGAATGAGCAGCATAGACTCGCCCAAGGGCGATATTTGCTGCTGCAGAACCCAAAATACTGCCAGCTTCTTCTGCAGAACTGCTGTCAGTCTCCGGACTGGCGCCCGTTGAGACGTCAAAACTGGCACCAGTCGCCGGTATGGATATAGCCTCGTGGCTAGCATGTAGGTCTGGAACACTTGAAAGAGAACGAGCTCTTTGACGATCGTTGGACATATCCATTCCCAAGGACCGCATAAATCGAAATCCGGGAGCTGTGACCACCTCGGAGCTGCTGCTCGTCGAAAAAGCTCTTGTACGAGGACTTTGAGCCCCGTTTGCTGTACTCGGTTTAGCGCCCATAACTTAATATTAAATATCACACAATTGTTCTTTACACTTTGATGATTTATTAAATTACATATTAATGTTTTGATAAGTCACACACTTGTCATAAATTACATGCGAAAAATTCACCTGATTTGACAGGCAACATATCGTTTGTTTTTGTTCGAAAAAAACAGGACACTGTAATTATTTAAAACTAATTTTACAATATTACACCTTTACGCGCTTCCTTTCAATACGCAACAATTTAATTTTTACACAATTATTAATACACACATAATGGCAAATGACGATATAAAATATATTTTCTGAAAGCCATATTATTCGATTAATTTAGTATATGAAAGGGAGATGGCGCTGCAGCAGAGGAAAATTTAACATTATTAACTTGGAACTACAAGTCAAAATGCCTACTTCATTCCTAAATTTCGATGACTACCCAAACATTAAACACGATTAAACATTAAGATTTCATCTGTTTTACTATTTATATGTAGTGGTTGTCGAACAAATTGTCATTTATTATTTAGACAAACATGAACATCACACTAGCTAATTGTGGGTTGCATAACATCACTGTTACATTAAATTCAAATTTTTACATTACATAATGATAATCGAATTTAACAATATTGATTTTAAAATTCGAAAACCAGCAACATTTTAATAAGGACTACCCTGCATATCTCAAATCGTAATTTAAATATATTGTCGTGGCACGAATCCCCAAACCCGTGAATTTCGAAAATTTATACCAGTTTCCAACGCATTTCAAGAAACATTCCAAAAACCGTTCATGAAGCATATATCCCGCCAAAACTACAAAACCATAGACAAGAGATTGCAGACAGCCTACAACGTTCATCGGAAGACGTACAAAATTTCACCGATGTTTTGAAACTTTTCCAAAGCTCCTCTACGCCGCTAAGCAACATCAGTCGTAGTAAACGATGCTAACAAAGCACGCAACCGATCGCTGAACCACTGCTGACAGCGCATAAAGGCGCGAAAATTTTTTAACTGAGTTCCGAACTTTTGGAAATTAAAATATTTCCAAATGTTACGAAATTCGGACTGAAGCAAGGCCTCATAGTTAGTTACAGGTTGATAAACCCTACGGAGACGACCATCATTCCAAGAAGGAGGCATAATCTTAGAATCAACGCGAAGACCACTGCAAGATTTTGCAGATCCAGCCGGAAGTGCGTTCGAATATCAACCTGAAAAGCCTTAAAATGGTAGCATCCCGAGGATGTAGGAGTGTTTCCTAGGCCATAACAATAAAGCATGGAGCATTATCCCAAGGTCAAGCGTCTCGTCACCAATGTGGGAAGAGCAACAAATATCAAAAATATTATTACTGTTTCCTTTCAAATTTATGTTAGGTATTTACTAATTTTCTTAAATTTTTGATTCTGCAAAATACGAAAGAAAGGCGCAAAACCTGAAATACAATTTAAGAAATTATAACTACCTTTATCATCTTATAAAAACTTCTAATAGTGCAAATAGTACCTATGTGCCAACATTTCAAAGGGCTCGAAGACAAATTTAAAGGTGACAAATTATTTAAGCCGCAGGCGTAAAATTTTAATCAATAGTCGTGCGTCATCATGCGCAAACAAAAGTGATTCCTATGATGTAAGAGTCCCTCTTTCAAATTTAATAACATGTTTTTTGACCCCTAGAAAACGAATACGCCGAAACATAATCAAAGTGCATGTGATAATAGTAGTAATGAAAAGTATTAGAAGAAAATCCGAATAAAACAAAGATAATGAGTGAAGAAGGAAACGACGCGCACGGTTATGCCAAATTAGGAAGATCACGTCGTGATACCAATGATTATCACACCAGGGGCGCTTTCATTAATTTTTCACCCCCCATAGACGCATACAACGCAGTATATCTAGCGTTTGTGCTGGGGGGCGCGGGATTCCTGCTACCCTACAACAGGTACGAGATTTGACATTTTCATAAACATCGCGCCTCCCCGAAATCGTAGTAATTTTATTCACCAACTGATTTTCAGGTAGTGGTTATTTTGTTCACTTTAATGATTTTTATCGAAATAAACAATAGTTGGGAAAATTTAGTATTTTGGAAATAAAATTTTATGGACCACTTGTTAGAAATTTTATACAAGTAAAACTTTAATGGCGGATTCTACGTCACAGATTAAGAAAAAAGTTCATGTACACATGTGACGCAAATGATTAGTTCGCGAGATACAGGGTTTCAAAAATTAATGAAAAATTTACTTCATTTCGTCGCTTAAACCGTTTAGTACAGGCAAACACTATTTTATTTGATTCAGAGATACAATATTTTTATGAATAACGTATTATTGCATTTTTAGTGATAGATATATGTATACACGAATGTATTAGGCGAGCGGTTCACCCCTAAAAAGATGCTTCTAAATGAAGGTAACCGACTAAATTTTTAAAACAAAAACCTGCAGCATGAAACTTTTTTCTGATAATTTACATATTTTTCGGCGTGGTCAGTCAATTGTTGTAAACAAAAAAGTTGTAAAAAAAAATTACTCGCCGAATGGCTTTGAAAATAGTTTTTTTATTGTAAAGTGGACCAAAATAAACACTGTTTGTTCTTTGACAAAAATTCGAAAAATGCTTCTTTTCCGAGATATTTACAATTTAATGTGAATTTAAAGTGAAATCGACAAATTTTCGAAATTTTTTTCTCAAAAACTACTGAACGGAGTTTAATTCTAAAAAAAGCATAATAATCGGCAGATCTTCTACTTTAAGATATATTTTTTTGGTACAGGTCAATTATTTTATTGAAGGTCTAAAGCGAGTAAAAAAAGTATTTTAAATAAAATTATGATAACATTTCAAATTTAAATTTCCTTTTTACAATATCTTGGATTAGATTATATTTACAATAAATATTATAATGATTTTTTTTATCGATATATGTTAACAGTACCTAATGTTCAAAAGATTATTTTGTTTGGTTTTGTAGCCGGAGTAAGGTTTTTGCAAGTAATTAGGAAAATTTAAATATTCGATTTTTGATTGATGGTGAAACGCTTATTTCAACTCAGGAACTTGTCGAAAGTAACGAAAAACTTATTATTTCAAAATTAAATAAAAAAGAAATTAATATACTTTTATTGCTTTTAATATTTTTGTAAAATAAAAATAAAGTAATTATCCTATACAATTTATTTTTCGAGACCGCTAGGTCAATTATTATTATTAGGTTAATTTTATAATTTAAAAACCTTATTTAGTTTNAGACTTCCAGGACTCGCCTACGGCTCGTCCTAGAATTTTGTCAACTCGTCCAAAAAAACAGTATTTTCCGGACTTGTTACGTAAATAACTATTATTTATGTACTTGTAATATGCTCTAGAAGTTTAACCGGTTTAAAGTGCTTAGTTTTGAAAAAAGTTGAGTTTGAAGTGAAAAGAAAATTTTTATATTTTTAGAAAAAATTGTGTTTTCTTCAAAATAACTCAAACTCAAAAACTATTAATGATACGCAAAATTTTGTAGAGTACAAAATTGTAGGTTTTGCTTGCTTGAAAATTTTATTTATTTTTTTCTGTAGGATAAAAATTAAGTAAGATATGGCCGTTTATACTTTGCATATGTTCGTAAATATCAACTTGTTCAAGCCCTGTCAGCTCAAACCCTTGCAAAACTTAGGGCTGAAAGAAATTTTAACTTATTTGATCTTATAGCCCTTGAAAAAAACTACAAAATAGTCTTTTGAAATGCTTGATAGCATAAAAACTACGCGAGTTATGGGTAAAAAACCAATCACATATTTTTGCAGATATCACATGTACGTGCTTTCGAAAAGTAACGAATAAATTCATTATTTTTTAAATTGAGAAGTTTTCTAAAAAATCCCCTAGCACGTCGATTTTGTTTTTAAAAAAGACACTTTTTGACATACGACCCATATTTGTGACGTCATCGTTGTTCGAGATATGACGTCATCGACAATTTTTTTAAATAGCAACCCCCAATTTTGACCATGCCATTTGAAAGAGCGTGTCATTCTACATACACAGATCATGAAAAATTATGGTGTTACATAACAAAAATTTCAAGAAAATAATGTTTGAAGATTTTAAAATTTAATTTTCACAATACTGAAAATGATAATGATTATGTAAAAATCGACTAAATTAAATGTTCAAATTGTGCACCGTTGGCTGCCTGACAGTAGCCAAGACGATTAATAAATTCTTTTTGGACATTATCAATAACTTCAGGAGGTATACGATGTATCTCGTGACGAATTCTTGCTTTTAAATCTTCTAAATTAACCGGTCTAGTAACGTATACTTTGCTTTTTAAGTATCCCCACAAGAAATAATCTAGGGGTGTCAAATCAGGCGATCTGGCTGGCCACTCAATC